CCCCCAAACCTCCCCCTTGCTGCATTCACACACACACACACACACACACAGACATGCAAAACGAATGATACAGATTTCCTTGAAAAGCCGAGTCCTTTTACGGGCGAGTCCTTTCAACAAAACAATGGCAAACAATGGGAAACAACGCATGGCACCGTATGGGGAAAACAGGCCGCGAATACAGATCCCTCTCTCCCTCTCCCCCTCGCCGCCCGCCTCCCGTGTTCATTCATTGACGGCGGAACATAGCGCGCCCCTCGCTCTCGCACGCAGACTATTCGATTGTCAGTGAGTGGTCACAGAGTCGGCGTGAAAGAGATAGAGAAAGAGAGGCAGACAGAGGCTCCCGCCAAGAACAGACAAACAATCATCTGGAGGGAGGGAGGGAGGGAGGGAGGTGAGGTGAGAGGAGAGGTGGGAGGGAGCGAGCAGGATGGCCAGCAGCCAGCCGGTCAGCCCTTCAAAACGAGCAGATGGCGGCCGGCCGTCGACAGTATGGTATGTGTATCCATGGAATGGAATGGCATGGTAAGTATGCAATTGGGGACATGAACCAATGAACATGAATGACCCGACAGACACAGTGACACAGTGAGCCGGCCTGTTTTTAACAAAAGCCCGCCCCCGCCTCCCGCCTCCCGACGGACAGCCAGCCAGCCTGAGAGGCAGGCACACCTGCCTACCTACCTACCTGTGAACATTACGTAAGTATGTACGCAACGCATCAATGAATGTCATTGTGTGAGGTGGGGCGCTGCAGGGCCACGCAGCAAAGTGACAAAAAGGAAAGAAGGAAGGAAGCAGAGATAGATAGATAGATGGTGGATGGATGGATCATCATGCTGATGACAAAACACGGCCATGTGTGTGTCCTCTCTCCCTCTCTCTCTCTCTCTCTCTCTCTCAGCTCTCCTCTCAGCAGTGCTTTCCCCGGGCACATACACACACACATACACACCCACACACACGGACACACATTAAATGACAGCTCTCCTCTCGTCTCCTCTCCTCTCTGTGTATGGTATGGTATGTATCGGTGTACGCATCTACCTACCTACCGGTCTCCCCTGTGCCGAAAATTGATGTGCCAGCCAGCCAGCCAGGCAGACAGCCATTTGTCACTCATTGATCGATCGGTATGGTATTATATCAGAGAGGTCTCACTCAATTCAATGAGTACGCACGCACGCACGCAAGTATGCATGCCCGTTTTGTATGTGCACCGGATGCAAAATCCCACCACCGTCTTGCCTGCTTTCATTCGACGACAGCAGCTAGCCAGCGACAAAACACAGCCCACCTGCTGTCTGTCTATCTCCCTGCCTGCGTCCCTGCCCGCCTGCCAGCCATCTCTACTTGATCACTTTGTGAGGTCGGGGCCGCAGAGCCCGCGCCGACCGACCCGACGGACCAGCCAGACAGGAAGGCAAGCAGCTATCTCTCTCTAAAACCGCAGGCATCGCATCGCATCGCATACACAGACATACAGAGCACCTGTCTTGCATTCGCTGGCGTGCCTGAACACGCCCCTGTCCATCGGTCTGTCTGTCTATTGGCCGGCAAGTGAATGGGCAACACAACACGACACAACCTGCGCAGAGAAGACATCCTTCACCTTTCCTGAGTCAGAGAGTCAGTAGAGGGGTGGCGCAGCACACCTGGGGCGGGCAGCGCTACCTACCTGTTCAAAAAGTGGGGCGGGCGGAGCGAGCGATCACACACACGGGGGGCGGCATCACACAGCACGCACGCCGCGCCCGCCCCACAATTGCATCGCACCAATGCATCTACGTTGCTTACGTCTGTATGGATGTATGTGATCATGGGGGAGGGAAGGGTGGCTGGCTGGTGGGTGTCCTGTCTCGCCTGGTCTCGACCGCACCCACACCCACCCACGACACACATGGACAAAACTCCACATGCATCCCTCCCTCCACCCATCCCTTCACTCACCCAGCCCCACGCGCAACGCAAGAGTACAAGGACGAGCACGGAAAAACCCTACCAAAACTGCACGCACCTGCAGGCCAGGCGGGAGTGTGGGTCACCCAGGGGGAAGCGAGAGCGGTCAGCAAGTGAAAGCTGTCACCAGCTGACCGCTCACGTCACTCACTGTGAGTGAACCACACGCACGGCCGCCGAGGCATTCACACACAGACGCAGTGGATAGATAGACAGACATGGGGGGAGGAAAGAGAATTGACTGGTCGGTCCATCACTCACTCACGAGAGGCAGGTGTGTGTTTCCTTGAAAGGCCACGATGAACAAAACCCACACACAATACATACAGACGGCCACGGGGAAAGGAGAAGATAGCGAGATTTGACATGGAAGAGCCCAGTTGAGTTGGTGAGTCAGTCAGTCAGTGTGTGTAGGGTGTCTGTGTCTGTCTGTCTGTCTATGCAGCGGTCTGTGGGTTGTGTGGGGGTGCCATGGATGGGGGGTGCATGATGTGTGGGTTCCCGCCACCGCCATAACCACCGCCACCGTAGCCTCCCATCCCTGACGACACGACACACGCACACCACAGACACAGAGGACACACAGATGCAATCAATGCAGGTGGGGCTTGCTTTGCTTTTCTCTCCTCTGTCTGTGAGTCGTGTTGTGTCTGTTGCGTTGACTGACCTCCGTTAGCGTATCCGCCGCCCCTGCCGCCCCGTCCGCCGAAGCCCCCTGGGTTGCCGTAGCCGCCCCGCCCTCCCATGCCCCCGCGACCCCCAGCGCCGTAACCCATGTTGCGCGCCGGCATCCCGCGGCCATAACCGCCACGACCGCCACGGAACCCTCCTACAATGTAAGCAGCAATGCACACAAAGAGATGACTCGTGTGTAGTGTGTCTGTGTCTCTGTCTGTGTGCGTGTCGTGTCAGTCAGTTGTACTTGGGTTGGGTCCGCCACCTCCGCCGCCGGCGTTTTTGGCCATCTCCTCGAGCTCGGGCGGGGGCCGCTGGTCCACGTCACGAATCACACGGCAGATGTCACGCGCCATACGACTCTGACGACACACCAACAAATCCAACAAGTGTCGATTGCCTCTGTTGCTGGCTGGGTGGCTGGCTGGTTGGCTGACCATAGCAGCATCGGTGACGGCCTCCTGCGAGAATGCGTTCTGTGCGCAGAAGAATGTGAGTGCGCGTCCGCGGGCGCCCGCCCGGCCAGTGCGGCCGATGCGGTGGATGTAGTCCTCGATCGTCTTGGGCATGTCGTAGTTGACCACAAAATCGATGTTCTTGATGTCTGTTTTACAGCCCATACACACCCATATGGATCTATGTGGCGCATCCCTCCCTCTTTCCCTCCCTCTGTCCCCCCCTGGCTGCGTGCGTACCGAGTCCTCTGGATGCGACGTCGGTAGCGACCAGCAGTGTGCAGCGGCCGATTCTGAACTCGTTGAGGATGCGATCGCGCTCACGCTGCTCCTTGTCGCCGTGAATGCTGCACAACGGATGGATGCACTCACTAATGACTGTGGTCTAGGTCATTTTGTGTGTTGATGTATCTATCTTACGACTGAGCGTTGAAGTTCTGCCATCTGAGGTCGCGGCATAGGAGGTCACAGCCGCGCTTCGTCTCGCAAAACACCAAGATCTGATGGATGGGGGACCACAGGCAGAGGCCATATCCCGACAGGTGGGGCCGCGTCGCGTGTGTCATTCATTCTCGTGTGTGTTCCCTATTTACCTTCTCGCCAACGCTGACATGCTGACGCAGCCACACGAAGAACCTAGGACAGGACACGCACAGAAAGAGAGAGACAGACGCATGCCATACGGTGAGTAGGTGTGCCGCCCATCGTGGCCATACAAACATACACACATACCTATTCTGTTTCTCGTGTTCAGCAACGAACTCTACGATTTGTTCGATGTTGGGGTTGGCCTGCAGGTCATGCGACCCCACCGTGATCTTGACGGGATCCTCGCGACAAAAATCCCTGCACACGCACACAGACAACACGGATACCATACCATGTCTCTTGTTCTCGTCTGTGTCTGTGGCCGCGAGGGTGGCGTGGCGCACCTGGCGAGTGCCTGGACCTCCTTCGGCCACGTCGCGCTCCACATGAGTGTCTGTCGGTCGGGGCGGATCTGGCTAACGATCTTGCGCATCTGAGGCTCAAATCCCATGTCCTGATCGAATCCACACATAGTACAACACAACACACACCATGCGAAACAAACACTCCTCACAGGCGTCGGCAACGGCGACAGTTTTCTCTCTCTGTGTGTGTGATTGGTTGGTATTCTGACCAGCATTCTGTCAGCCTCGTCGAGCACGAGGTATGTGACGCGTTTGAGGTTGGTGTTGCCCGACTCGAGGAAATCCAACAGACGACCCGGGGTGGCGATCACGATGTGGGCACCTGTACATGGCATGGATGGATGGCGTGTGTGTGTGAGGCTTGCCTCGCAACGGTCAGGTCAGCATACCTCTTCTGAGTTCGGAGATCTGTCCGTAGCGGTGCACTCCGCCGTACACACACACGATGTGGATCGAACTCGTGCGACCTGACATACACAACACAACACGACACGACACACACACATACATACGTGACGTGAAACAGACCCTCCCTCCCTCCCTCCCTCCCTCCGCCCATGTCTCTCTCTTGTGAACGCACCGAATTTGGAGGCTTCCTTCTGGATCTGCATGGCCAGCTCGCGAGTGGGCGCCAGCACCAACGCAATGGGACCGTCACCGTCCTGAACCACAGACAGCGGTGCGGTGTTGGGCGTGGGGCTCGGCTGTGTGCACTCACTCACTCACCCTGAGTGGCGGTTGTGCGTTGATGTGCAGTATGGATGGCAGCAGGTACGCGAGTGTCTTGCCGGAGCCCGTCTGGGCGATGCCGATCATGTCGCGACCCGTCAGGGCCACCGGCCAACCCTGAAGCACACACAACACAACACAACACAAAACGCCACACAGACAGATGATATGATGTGCAGGCAGCCATCTCCCTGTGTGCGTGGTTGGTTGCTTATACCATTGTCTGGATGGGGTAGGGGTACTGGAAGCCGTTGTTGTGGATCTCTTGCATCACGTAGTCTGAACGAAACGAACGTGATGACGTGTGCGAAGATGTGTGTAGTCAGTCTCTTTTGTGAGTGTGTGTGTGGTGTGTGTGTACCAGGGAAGCACGCCTCTGCGAATGTCTTGATGGGCTTGGGAATGGGTGGCGTGCCGTTGACCGCGATCTCGCCCTCCTTGAGGATCTGCTCGACGTCCTGAACCGTACGCTGCACAATCGATCAAAGACACAAGACACCGACACAAACAAAAGGGGATGTGATGTGTGTCTTGTCTTGATGCGTGTGGTTGTGCGGGTCCCACTGACTGCACTGCACTGACCATAGCGACGTGTGGGTGTTCGACGTAGAAGTTCTTTCTGAAGGTAGTGAGGTCCTCGTGGCTCCAGTCGATGTTGCGGAGGTTCGCACCAGCCATGGCCATCTTGTCGCGACTACACACACACATTACACCAACGCAAACGCAGCACGCAACACACAACAGGTGTAGTCGGTGTCTGTCAGATCACTCCTCCGTGCAGTGCCTTGTTTGTCTTACGGGCCCATGCCCATGCCCATGCCCATCCCGCCCCGCTGGAAGCTGTCGCCCCAGTCGTCGCCACGGCCATAGCCACTACCCATACCACCCCTGCACACACCAAACAACACAGGACAGAGAGAGACGGTAGAGAGGATGGACGGGACGCCCCACCACACAGGTGACCTCCCCAGGCGCCCACGCACCTGTTCATGCCCATGCCGCCTCCTCCGCCCATGTACCCGCCGCCCCCCATGCCGCCGCCGCCCATCATGCCCATGCCCCCCATGTGGTTGCCGTAGTCGGGGTACCCGCCGCCCATCCCACCGCCCATGCCGCCTCCCATGCCGCCGTCCATCGGACCGCGGTTGTTGGGCAGGGGCGGGGGCGCGACCATGGAAGCCATGCCGTACGAGTAGTTACCTGCAGTGCAGTGCACACGACGGACGACACAAACGAACATGACAGAGAGAGATAGCACGAGGTGTGTCTTGCTCGTCTGTCTGTCGTCACACTTGTGTCTGTCTGGCTCTCTAGCTGTCTCCGTGTTGTGTTGTGTGTTGTGTGCGTCCCGCACTGCAGGCAGGCAGGCACTCACCCTGTCCTCCCGACGGTGGTGGCGGTGGGGCACCGCCCATGCCTGTGGGTGGTGGCGGTGGGGCACCGCCCATGCCTGTGGGTGCGTGTCCCACGACTCCCTGGGCCATGGCCGGACCAGCGTTGCCGTACCCTCCCATGCCGTAGCCGCCCTCGCCGCCGCCTCCCATGCTGTAACCCGACTGACCGGCCTGCCCGTACGCTCCCGGTCCTCCTGCCTGTGGCGCTGGCGGTGCGGGTGCTGTTGGTGTGGGTGCTGGTGGCTGTGGCGGGTAGGTGCTGTTGTGCTGTACAGTGTGGTTGGGGTTGGCTGTGGGACGAGAGGTGGGTTGGTTCAGATACTGGTGGCCCTGAGGCTGTGCGTAGCCGTTGCCAGTGGTGTACCCCTGATAAGCTACAGCTGCTGCATTCATCAAGCGAGATACGCTCGCTCTCGTTCGACAGGAAAGGGAGAGACGACACGTGTCGGTTAAGGCTGCAGATCTTTCAGGGATCCAAACTCTCCTTCTCTCCCACTCAGCCAGTTATAAGCTCGCAAAAGCTCGCATTGGCGAAGAGTGATTTCGGGAGGCGAAACGACGCAGAGAGTACGACTTCGGAGTATCGCAGTAGCTGTGGCTGTGCTTCTCTTGAGTTGGCGGCATCAACCTGTGTGTCGGCGGTCATCTGAGTGTCCACCGGCCTTGCAGGTACCTAGGATAGGACGGACACAGCCCGCACGTGCATCCCCATCCATCTAGCGGTAGCGTGTTGAGATGGAGGGCGCCGACGAGGCCAAACAGACGGAGGTGAGCAAAGCCAGTGCAAGAGCTTGAATGATAGCGATCTTCACTCGTGGCTCAGCCAGGGAGGCACAGATCTGCCTCACAGGCGGCTCCCTCACCCCCCTCTGCTTTCATCCTCACTTTGTCTGCAGGCCAAGGCGGCCGAGACATCGTCGGTTGAGGCTCCTGCAGCCATGGTGAACGGGACGGAGGACAAGAAATCGGCGGGCGAGAAGAAGCGCAAGGCGGCAGAGGGCGCCGGAGCCAGCAGTGCGGCAGCTGCGGCTGTGGCTGACAAGGGCGACCGGCCGCGACGAGGCAAGGAAAAAGCTGAGGGGTTCTACAAACCGGTAAGTAGGTGGGGTGGGTGGAGGGGTGGGTGGTGCCACGCTATGATCTGATTAATCTCTCCTGTGTGTGTGCTTGTTTATGTGTGTATGTTACTTATCAGTCTGCACAGGTCGCCCGTGGCCTTCATGAGGATGAGGAGCCCAAGGAGAAGAAGGGACACCTCATACCCAAGGTAGGTGACGGACGGAATCGGTGGCGGGAGGGGTGTAGTACCTACAGACGGCCTTACTTGCTGCCTGTATGTGGTGTGATGGGTGGACGATGTGGGTGGACGGACGGTGTGTATCAGGGCAAGGGCGAGAAGCTGGGCAGTCTGATGGACCCGAAGGCGTGGAAGCACATCGCTGACGAGAACATCAAGAAGTTCCACCGCTGCCTCTACAATGTATGACGTGACACCACACACTTCACCTACCGACCAAGGCAGGGCAGGGCGGACATCCATTTGTGTGCGTGTTTCTCTGTGCCTGCGTGTGTGCAGACGGACGGTACCAAGACCACTCGCAAGCCTGAGATCAGCAAGTGGACGGGCATCAGTGGCGAGAAGGGCACAGCGGTAAACCAGCCCGGTCACGAAACGGTGGCAATGCATGCAATGCATCTTGTCGTTGTGTGTGTGTGGTGATGTCAATCCGCCCGTCTGTCTGTCAGACCCAAGAGGATTTGGAGCGGCGTTTGAAGACGGCCACGGTGAAGCAGCTGCAGGACATCTGCACCATCGTGGGCCTCACACACTCGGGCACCAAGGGTAAGGGTGGGGGAGGGAACGGAGCGACAAACAACACGCCGACACAACAAACCTGACGAAATCATCATCCTTTTGTGCAGATGAGTTGTCGAGTGAGTTGGCTGAGTTTCTGTCGTGCCCCAAGGGGGACTTCGCCGGAAAGAAACTCCACAGCACCGGGGGCAAAAAGGTCAGTCAGGGAGGGAGGGGCCACCTGTGCTGTGTACAGCTGCTTGGGTGGTGTCTTGTGTCTTTGTGTGTGCAGTCTAGCAAGAAGAGCGGCAAGACCTCGTCCAAGGCATCGTCAGCCAAATCGGTAGGTAAACCACACCCACCCCGAACACAGATCTGATATCCACTCCACTCGTGTGCGTGTGTCGTCTTCTCTCTCCAATGATATCAGAAGGGCGGCAGTGGTGTGAAGCGCCCGCCCGGCAAGTTCATCCTGTTCTGCAACGAGCGTCGCGCGGCCGTGAAGCAGGAGATGGAGGCCGAGGGCGTCGATGCCGCACCCAAGGAAATCAACAAACGGCTCGGGGAGGAGTGGAACGACATGGACGATGACGAAAAGAAGGTGACTTCGGACGGACGGGGAGAGGATGGACGCTCACATGGATGGACGCTCACATGGTGCACCGCACCGTGTCCTGTGTGTGTGTTCTGTGGCTGTCAGCCGTACAAGGACAAGGCTGAGGAGCTGCTCGCTGCCTGGAAGCAGAGTCAGTGGGCCGACAGACCGTCCGACAACGCACAACCACACACGCGTGTTCATTTGTGTGTGTCGTGTCCTGTCATGTTTGTCAGGCACTGGCGGCGGTTCCTCGTCCAAGAAGGGCAAGAAGGGCGAGGGCGACGAAGACGATGAGGACGAGGGGGAGGAAGACGAAAACGTAACACAACAAACACGACCACGACCACCACCCCATCGCCCATTTGTCTGTGTGTCCATGGATGTCGCTATCAGGAGCGCACGGACGAGGACGAGGAAGCCGAGCCCGCCGCTGCCGCTGGTGGTGGTGGTGGTGGCGGTGCCAAGGACGAGGAGATGAAGGATGAGGGCGGCGAGGAGGAGGAGCAAGCGGATGAGGCCAAGGCCGGGGCGGCCGAGGCAGCCGCCAAGAAGGAGGGAGGGGAGGAGGGTGAGGGTGAGGGTGAGGGCACCGAGGAGCCCGAGGCCAAGCGTGCTAGGACCGTCACCGGCAACACTACCGGTGGGAAAGGAAACGAACGGCCTCACGCAACGTGTCATGCATTCATTGCTCTGTCCCTCTGTGCGCGGTGCTGTTGTCAGAGGATGGTGCGCCAGCAGCAGCGGCTGCCGCCAAGGCCGAGGGCGGCGAGGGGGATGCTCCTGCTGGTGGTGACGTCGAGCAGCCAGGTGCTGCCGCTGCGGGCGCCCCCGATGCCGACATGACGGCTGCATAACACACACACCACACACACATACACTCACAAGTCCGTACGAACTAACATAGATAGGTGTAGGTACCCTACCGGTATACATGGCTGGGTGGGTGTGTGTCTGCGTTTGTTTCTTTTTATCTGTGCGTCTTTTTGGTGGGCCTACTTTCGATGATGAATGGATGGATGTGTGGTTTTCTTTATTCATTTGTGGAGCATGGCTGGATGAGTATAGGTGGCTGCATTCGTAGCGCGTAGAAGAGAGCAGCTACCTACCTACGGCTGCCCTCCCCTGTGTGCAGATCTTTGGCCCACAGATCATATCGCCAGATTGACTGATGTCTTCTCTTGCAGTGTCTTGATCCCTGCTCAACCTGCGTCATCCGGCGCCGAAACCTGCGTCTGTTGGAGGATGCAGGGGACTGCGTTGGGGCTGGCGGGTCGAGCAGAGACGAGACACCACACACAGAGAGGATGGAGAAAGATGCTCGGATGGTGGAATCAATCAATCGTGCCTGCTTCCTACTCGTCCCTCTGTCTGTCCTTTCGGGGACTCCCAGTCGGTGACGAGTGGTGCGGCGCCGCACTTTGACTCTGACGGGGAGGGAATCCACTGGATAACAGAGGGGTAACAGAATTCGACAGTTTTCGAAGGTAAGTAGTTGTAGTCTACCTACGGGGATGGATGGACGGGCGGACGGGTGCGCTGGGGGGGGGGACCAGTGTGTGTGTGTGTGTGTGCCTGGCTGCTCCGTGAGCGAAAACAACTCCTTTGCCTCTTGTGAGTGTCGTGTGGAGCTCGATGGATGGATGGATGCATGGATTGAGGACTGGGGGACATCAAAGTCTGACGACAAGGTACCTGCGTTGACGTGACTGCTTGCCGTCACCGTCCACAGACACACGCGCATAATGAATGCTAGGCAGGGAGGGGCAGGGCACCAAAAAGTAGTCCGTCGACTTGCTAGTCAGGGAGGGGCAAAAAGTCAAATCGAGCGATACGGTACACACACCCGTACTCACCCACAGAGCCAGATGCAGGTAAGACAGCATCGCATCATGTCAGTCAGTCACGAATAAACATAGATATACGCCCTCGGCCAGACAAATGTACGTATTCACAAGTCAGTCAGTCGCATTGCAAGAGAGAGGGGGTGCAAAAGGGGCGCCCTCTATCCACACACACGCCACGGAAGAGACACACGCGGGCAGGCAGACACAGAGAGACAGACAGACAGGAAGGCATCACTGGGTCGGGCTGCTGACAGTCGTATTAGTGGGCAAAACAGCCACCGAATCGAGATGCCCCGCCTCATTTCTCTCCCCATCTCACCGCTGCCCTCCTTCGCCCGCCCCCCCACCAAAGGATGACGCAAAAAGAGCTCTAAAAGCCTGTCTGTCACTCGAGGTGTTTTGTGACGAACTGCATGACGGTGTCCATGGCCTCCATGCCGTAGGGGAAACGGTCGCTGCCGTAAATCCCATGCACACCTGCAGGAACCACAGTCGTTGTGAGTCTCGGTGGTGCACCATGTGTGCCGATGTGTGTGTGTGTGTGTGTGTTTGTGTGTAAGTACGTACCAGGCATGATGACGAGCTGTCCCTGGTTGCCGGCGTCCTCCATCATGTGATGCAGCAGCACACCGCTGTCCTTCAGAGGGTCATGCGAATACTGGACTGAACCAGCCAACCAACACACCAACACAGACAGGTGCAGGTACATACCTGCATCTGTCTGTCTGTCTGTGTGGTGTGTGGGCCCGTACACATGACGGCAGGTGGGAGTTTCTGCAGCAGTGAGTGCGGCATTCGCAGTGGGGAGGCGCGCCAGTCGAAACACTCGTTGGGGCTGCGCCAGTACTGACACACGACACGAGGGAGGGAGGGAGGGACGGAGGGAGGGAGCAGACACTGTAACCTGCTGGGCATCGTGTGGGTGTGTGTCTGCGGGGAGGGAGGTGGGGTCTCACCAGCATCTTGAACCAGAAGATGCTGTGCACGTTGATCGCAGGGAAGTCAGAATGCCTGTTTGTTTTAATGATTGAGGAAGGGGATCACACGCAGAGCACACACACACACAGGCAGACAGACAGACAGACGTAGGACACGCACATAGACCACAGACAGACTCCATCTTCCCTCCCTCCCTGCCTGGCTCACTTGGCGAGGCTTTGTGTCATCATGCAGCCCGACACACTCGGATAGATGAGCCCCAGTGCCTTGATCGACGGCACCCATGGCAGCTCACGCACGATCGCCATACCCATCATGCTCAGGGTAATGACGCCACCAGCACTGTCCCCCATCAGCACAAACCTGCACAGCACATACAATAGACAGACCATTGTTGCTGGTGTGCTGGGCTGTGCTGTGGTGTGTGCATGCGTCACTTTGTTGAGTCACCTGTTTGTGTCGAGCCCGAAGTCGCTTGCATGTTTGTAGAGCCAGGTGACGGCGGCAATGCTGTCCTCTATACCAGAGGGGAACTTCCACTGCGGCGCCAATCTGACACACGCGAAATAACAACACCCAGAACAAACACGTCGGGTGGATGCCTTCCCTTTCCCCATGTGCGCGTGTGTGGGTGTCTGCATCCCTCGATCCATAGGTACCGGTAGTCGATGGCCGCCACGACCCCATCCACTCTGTTGGCGTGGTACCGCATCAGATGGTCGTACGCCTCCACATTCAGAAAGGCACTCCCGCCGCCGTGCACGTAAAACACCAAAGGCACCCCTGCACCCATCGCCCTCACATCAGTCTCATTCCTCTCGACCTCCGTCGCATCATCCAGCTCAACCTCGTCGCTCTGTCTGGCTCTCAGCAGCCGCGTCAGGGCGGGATACCGCGCCCCTATCGCCCTCGACACATAAAAGGTGATGTTAACGGGCGCGTCTGGGATGGGCGTCCACCCCACCACACAGCAGCCGGACGGGCAGCACGAGCGCAGGCCAGGTCCAGCATCGGCTGAGTCGGGTGTGAGCAGGTCGAAGTCCATGTTGCTGCCGGACTCGTTGCGGCCACATCGCGTGTAGAGGCAGGGTGGGGGGTTGAGGGGGAGGTCGGGGATGTCCCCATGCACCGGCTGCTCCATGCGCGGCGTGTCGTCCACTATCGGAGCGGGGATGGCATGCTTGGAAACCACGCTGACGGGCTCCACCTCCGCAAACAGGCGACGAAAGTCGCTGAAGAAAGGCCACACACAGATGCATGGACGCATACGCTCCTGTCTGGGCGTCTGTGTGCACTGACTGCCCTTGTGTGTCTGACTGACCTGGCCATGATGGAGGCCTTGAGGTGGTATCTGTCCATGCTGTTCTGCTCCCAGAAGTGTGTGTCGACTCGGGAAGTCAGCAGCTTGCGGAGCCGGTAGGTCAGAAGGCCGAAGTTGCTGCCCGCCGAGAAGTCCCTCACCCAGTGCTTGTGGATCACCACTGCAGTCACCACCAAGAACCCGATGAGAAAGAACGTCGGCCATGAGACCAGCACTGGGACGTCTTTGGGGGCGGCCTTGGGCGGCTGATCAGAGGCTGCAGCCTGGTTGGGCGCCTCGTGAGGGGCATGGGCATCTGCGCCGTGCTGCTCATCTCTCTTGTCATCGCCTGAGGGCTTCTCTGTGCGAGTGCTGGCGCCCTTGCTGCGCTGGCGGACAGTGTTTGATTCGGTCATGGGAGGCGAAGGGCTGGGCGACGGAGAGATAGATCTTTGTGAAAACCAAGAACAAACGAAAGGCTCGCCACGGATCACAAGCTCGCGAGATGGAGAGGGAGAGGGGAAGGAGGGGAAGAGGAGAGGAACGGCAGCGAGTGAGGCGTGTTGAGTCTGTTGAGGCCTTAAAACAGCCTTGCCATTCATCCATCTTAATTCACAATGGACCTCAGCACCACTCGGGTGAGCGGAGAGAAGCCATGTGAATGACGGCATGCATCACGTGGGATGTGCTGTGCTGTCTGTGTGCTGTCTGTGTCGTCCTGCGGTCGATGTGGTGCAGATGATTGCGTTGCGTCTGAGGGAGCAGCTGCTGCCGCAGCCTGAGTTCACTCCCGGACTCATCGGCATCCTCAAGATGAACCAGACTCGGGCATGTAGCCGACTCACACACTCACTGCTTCACTCAGACACTCATTGCTCATAGCGCATTTGGTTGTGCTGCCTGTTGGTTGTCTGTGTTGTGGTGTGTCTAGGTTAACAACTCCATCGGACGATTCTCACAGACGGACACCGCTAAGCTGACAACACAGGTGTGCGAAGAAGGCAAAGCAGACAGACAGACAGACAGACAGACAGACGCACACCAATCGGCACATTTGGGTCGTGTCTTGGCTGTTGGCGCCTCTTCGTCAGATGGTCACCGACGTGAACCGTCAGCTTGCGGCGGCGTCGGACCACCTGGCCCAGCTGGCACACATCATCGAGACCACCATCGCACAGACAGCACATGAGGGTGAGCCTGCACACACACAACGTCAAGCAAGATGGAACACACACCTGCGACACACGGCCTTCTCTCTCTCTGTGTGTGTGGGTGGTTGTTTGTCAGGTGAGGACACTACCGAAGAGGCCACACAGAACAACACGACCGGCAGTCACGCACAGGTGTGTGACCCCACACACACAAACGGACGGACTTCGCCATGTGCACCGCTTCCCTCCGTGTGTGTCTGTCTGCCTGTGTGTCATCAGGCCCCACTGTTGCATCTCTAGAACATCCCCGCCGAGCTCCTGGGCACCGTCATCGCAGCATCTGACGTCACCACCGTCGGCAGCTTCAAGTCGACAGCCCGACCCATCAGAGATGCTGTGCGGTCCATCGCCCGCCACCTTCGGCTGCCGAAGGCCATCAAGCGGGCGGGGCTGAGCGGTGTGGTGAAGTTCGACGCCCAGCTGAGCCACAGCGATGTGATGAAGGCCATGTGGGTGTTGAAGGAGGGGGGCGAGGGCGGCTAGGGGGAGGTGGGCGACACCCTCAGACTCGCCGAGCAGTGGGGCAATTGCCAGCTGCCGGTCACTGTGGGTGCTGCGGACCTGCAGACACACGCCACCAAGGCGGTCAGCACGACACACAGAAGAGGCAATGGGCGAGCTGCTGGGTGTGTGTGTTGGCTGCAGGATTTCTTGGCGCTGCCCCGTTTCTGTGCGCAGTGGATGCTCGTCGGCCGCCATGTGGCCTTCCAGCTCTCCGGCGGCCAGCAAGACGGCAATCTCGAGATGTTCTGCCACAACAATGAGATCCGCATCATCCGCAACGAGCCCAACTTCACCCTCACCCTCAACCCGCCCCTCCCCCTCCCCACCAGCCGCCCCATCCATCCCTTCTCACAGCACCCCTTCACCCACCACGCCAAGCCACACGACCCGCCAGTCCGCAGCCGCATTGTGTGGCATACTGGTGTGGGCTGGGCGACATGTGGCGTCAGCTACGGGGCCGTTGTCGCATCGGCGAGCTCCCTGATGAAGAAGCTGATGCTGGCTCACCGGCTGATGGCTGTGAGCGGCTTCACCGACTCGCCAGCAGTGGTGGTGGACCGGTGAGTCGATGGACGGCGCGCAGTGAGAGGGCGAATGGCTATGTGGTGCGTCATTGATGTGTGTGTCAGGGGTGCGCGTGGTGGCCACCTGAACAGCATCATCACCCAATCGCCACATACGCCCCTCGCCGAGTGCCCGGACGTGATGGCACTTGAGCTGGTCAATGGGGCCTGTGCGCAGCTGCATGTGCTGACGACGTCCGATGATCCGTTCATCGCATGGATCACCTTTCTTACGCCCCCCGGGGACAGTCAGAACGGTACGCATACGTGAGGGACCGGCACAACCCCACAACAGATGACCATGCTGTCGTTTTGTCTCATCATCTTCTCGTGTCCACATGCAGTGAGCGTCCACATTCGTACCACCGAGGCCCCAGCAGCAGGTATGGCCCACGATGCGCCCTTCGCGCATCGGTTTCCTCTGACGGCCGCCAAGGTGCGTCTCGCCTTCGGCCCCATCGGCCCCATCGTGTTGGACGGGGAGGCACCATAGACTCACGACCATCGATCGACACACCAAGGTCAGAGCCGCACACTATGACGACGCTGAGACCTGATGTGTCTGCCTGTGTGTGTGTGATGTGGCGTGTGTTGGTGTGCATTATGTAGGGTGGCTTGGTGGTTGGATACGTTGAAGGAAGGAGCCAAGTAGCTGGCTCACCGGGACCTTGTGGCACTCGCGTGGGTGGTGCTGGACCTTACGTGTGTGTCTCCATTGCGCTTGTGGACGTATCATACATGCATGTGTTGAATCTCATGGATGGACAAAGGTCATGGAAATACCCAATGTAGATCTATCCACCATCGACGAAGCTTTCAGATGGCTGTGGTAGTTGGGGAGAGGAAAGGGGGAGGGGATGTAGTTTATGGCCTGGCTTGTCAGACAGAAAGACGACTTTGTGACGGGTGGGATGTGCCATGCCATGCGCGAACCACATTCTAGACACATGCATCATTCATCGCACCAGAATCTGCTCACGCACCGCTCCGCACCTGTCTGTCTGTCCGCACACTAGACGTCCCCGGATGAGTCCCTCATGCAACAGCAGATATGAGATGCACACACCACCAGACACGCAGCCCGCCCTACTGCCCGCCCGCCCGCCCGACAGTCAGTCAGTCAGTCAGTCAGCTACTTCTGTGGCGTTCCTTGACGCCAGTCAGCCTGCAGAACACACCCCAATACCCACACAATCCGTATCACCAGGTACGGTGTGCATCATCTGGGTGGTTCCCACCCTGTACCTAAGGCGCCTGGCCGTCGAGCACGATGGCCGCGATGGGGTCGAGGGCCGGACGCACCCTGGCGGCCGTCAGGGGGAACCGCTGGGCGAAGGGGGCGTCATGGGCAACACCTGTTGCTGCAGCCTCGCTGGTACTGATGATGACGCGCACTGCACAAAGACAACAGCAGAGCGGATGATCAAACGACACGACAGCATGGATGTGTTGTCAATGTGTATGCGTACCGTTTCGGTGGTCGCCCGGCTGGATACGAAAGAGAATCCATGCGATGAATGGGTCGTTGGATGACGTCAGCACGTGCGAGTGCCCACACACCCCATTGGCCCATTCGAACGCCAGTACGAGTGAGCACTCGTCGAGGGGCCTGTGCAGCGATTGGGTCATGATGCGGTCGAGGTGGCCACCACGCACACGCCTGACACACACATCAATGACGCACCACATAGCCATTCGCCCTCTCACTGCGCGCCTTCCTTCCACTGACCGGTCCACCACCACTGCTGGCGAGTCGGTGAAGCCGCCCACAGCCAGCAGCCGGTGACTCAGCAGCAGCCCCTTCAGCATGGAGCTCGCTGATGCGTAAAGAGGCCCGTCGTTGGCACCGACCGTCCCCCAGCCCACACCAGCATGCCACACAATGCGGCTGCGGACTGGCGGGTCGTGTGGCTTGGCGTGGTGGGTGAAGGGGTGCTGTGAGAAGGGATGGACGGGGCGGCCGGTGGGGAGGGGGAGGGGCGGGTTGATGGCGATGGTGAAGGTGGGCTCGCTGCGGATGACGCGGATCTCATTGGTGTGGCGGAACAGCTCTAGTGTGCCGTCCTGCTGGCCGGTGGGGCGGCGGAAGGCCACATAGCGGCCGACGAGCATCCACTGCGCAAACACACGGAACAGCGCCAAGAAATCCTGCACCCAAACACCCATCCAGCAGCTCACCCATTGCCTCTTCTGTGTGTCGTGCTTACCGCCTTTGGTGGCGTGTGTCTGCAGGTCAGAAGCACCCACTGTGACCGGCAGCTGACAAGAGCCGCAATGCTCAGCGAGTCTGAGCGTGCCGCCCACCTCCCCCCAGCCGCCCTCGCCCCCCTCCTCAACCACCCACATGGCCTTCACCACATCGCTGTGGCTCAGCTGATCGTCGAACTACACCACACCGCTCACCCCCACCCGCTTGATGGCCTTCGGCAGCCGAAGGCGGCGGACGATCGGTCGGAGGGCATTTCTGATGGGTCGGGCTGCCGACTTGAGGTGGGCGATCGTGATGAGGTCAGACAGTGCCAGGATGATGCTCATGGGGTTGGCAGGGATGTCAGTCAGGTGCCACCGTCGCGCCTGATTGCAAACAGAAAGACATGCACACACACAGCACATGCGACGTGCGCACTACATCAGTGTGGGTCTTGTGCTTGTGCCTGCCTGTGGTCACTCCCCCACTCACCTGTGTGCGGCGATGTCTTGTCAGTGCGATGGTCGAGTTGATGGTGTCTGTCAACTCGGCCAGCAGCTCGGACGCAGCAGCAAATTGACGACTCACCTTATCCACCATCTGACGAATAACTCACCAAGACGAGAGCAACATGACACAGAGGCCTTTGTGCTCCGGTTGTCAGTGTGCTGTTTGGCAGCCTGCCGCACCAGTGGTGCCATCGAAGCTGCGGTGTCCATCTGCAGGAGTTGATCAATGCAGCTGTTGACCTGCACACCACACACACAAGCAGCCGATGAGCTTTGGATGCACCGCATGGAATGGACGAGTTGGTATGTGTGTTGGTTAGCTGGCTACCTGAGCCTGCTTCAGCCGATAGCCTTGTACCTGAGGCAGCAGCTGCGCCTGAATCACTGCGCTCATCTGCACCAGGCCGGACGACAAACCACACAGACAGCACAAATAGTTCACGTCATGATGTAGGGATTTGCTTGGCCTCCAGCTCCCTCTTCTCTCACCTGGGCGGCGGCACTGGCAGCCATCGTGCACCGAAACAGCGAAAGCTATGAATCGGAGTGCTGTTTTCTGGTTTCAACGGGCTCTGCACGCCTCTGTCGTCGCCATGCTACATTCTCTTCGCTCCTTTGACTCTTGCAGTCAAAATTGGAGTGACCACCAAGTTTGAGCTCGCAGTCTGCCAGATCTCGCAGATCAGCTGGGATGGTGTTGCTCTACGGAATCGACGACAGCCAGGTGTGCACGCCCACATCGAAACACACGGACGGAGATGCAAGTGAATCACACTCCGTGTCTGTCTGCGTGTGTTTGTTGCATGCAGCTCACCACAGAACAGATCAGGTAAGTGGATGCATCAGCAGAAGGATGATGCATCTGCTGATCCACACGGGTCCATGTGCTGGTGGACAGGGCGTGTCTGGTTGAGGAGGAGAGGCGCATCGAAATCCTGCAGCGATACCTCATCAACGAGTGAGCAACACGACCGCACACAGACACGCGGAGATGCATTCATCGATGTGCATGCGCGTGTCTGTCTGTCTGTCTGTCTGTGTCAGAGGCGTTTGTCATCCCGATGACTTCCCTTTGGTGCCTCCCGTCCACGAGCAGGAGTGGCAGCGACAACAGCTGGAACAGCTGCAGCAGTGGCGGCGCCGAGAGCCTTCATATCCGCCACCCGATTACTCACACCAATACGATCGAGGTACCTCCTCACACGCATTGGTGTTGGTGGCTACCGTGGATTAATCAACCTGTGTGTGAGTGTGTGCAGGTGAGAGCCCTCAGCGCCATGACGGCCGCGGCAACTTTGGCAGTGACGGAGGGAGTCCCATCTCGGCAGGAGACTACACAGGACAGAGATTCTGTACGTTTACTCCAGACAGACACACCGATACACACGTTCCTACCCTTTATCGGTCGATTGCTGCGTAACGTGATGCAGCGCCTTCTCACCAGTCATACAACTACAACTAGAGCAATGTGGAGGTGATGCCGCACCCCCACACTGCCGCAACCGCCGCGATGGACTCGCCGCACGGTGCTCCCCCGCCCCCTCACACACACACGTGTTGATGGAAGCGCGCTTCCACACGCTCACTTGCACGTGCAGACAACGCCGGCTCGCCCCGCGGACCCCATCAACATGAGGAGGAACAGGTGCGCTACTGTGCCTTCACACACACCATCCATGGACGTCAACGATTGTGTGTGTCTGTGTGTGTGTGTGCAGGGGGATCGACTCCTCGAGACCTTCCTGAATGGTGCCGGGACATACGAAGACGTACGTCCGTGTGTGGGCACATGATGCATCACCAACCAGTATTAGACGTGCTCGCCTGTTGTTGGTCTGGTCAGTTCATCAGGCATCAGGGTGCCGCTGCCTGGGCATATCAGGTCAGACACACCATTGCGACGCGATACGCATGCACTGCTGCACCCGTGTGTGTGTCTGCAGGTGGATGACATCTTGACGGACAAGTGCAGCGAGTGGCGGCTGCTGTCGAACGGTGAGCTCACTGGCACACAAATACAACCAACCAGACGGGCCGCGTGTGTATTTCAGTACCGCGGCTTCGCGAGAAGTACAGGGACCTCAGCAAACACCTGTACCATGTGAGTGGCCATACACACATCCACAGAGCAAACAAATACACACCACACAGACGGCGACCCAGAAAAGGCTGTGTGGACCCGTGTGTGAGTATCAGCGGCCCCCCAACCACTGCCGCAAGCTGGAGGCGAGTGACCTCCAGACCTCCAAACATCCAAGTGCGCACATCACACACACAGTCGTGGATGGGATGGGATGGACGGATGTGTGTATCCGTACCTGGGTGTGCTCTACTCATCTGTGCGCAGAGGACGACCCCCGGTGCGACTTCGACAGCTCATTCATTCGCTTCTTGCGCGATCTACACATCGCCAAATATGTGAACGTACGCAGAGAACGCAACACACAGACCCCGGACGCATCCACGAGTCCCTCTGTGAACATGCATTCGTCAGATGGGCGCCCTCACTGTGGACAATTCGCGCCACTCTGCTGTGGACCTGGTGAGCATCTACGTCGAGGAGACTCCCGTGCTCGACGAACAGCGCAAGACAGAGGGGCCACTGTACGCACAAACACTTCTGTCACATCTGGTTGGCTGTCTGCATTGACTTTGCAGATTTGCTGGGCCACAAGGGCGATCTCGTTTGGGCGTGGAAGGCCGCCATGAAGCAGGGCAACTGCACGCAGGTACGCATCACACACGTGTCCACGTGCTGCGTGGGTGAGGATGTTTTTTACTGTCTGTCTGTCTGTAGGTCTTTTTCATCATGACCCACTGGCCACACGACATGCTGCAGGCAACCACCACTACCACCACGAAGACAAATATGCACACGTGCATCCATCCATATGCGCATTCATTCTTGTGTGTGTGCAGGCTGTGTGCGACAAGTTCGCCCAGGTGGTGAATGACTTCATCAGCCAGAAAGCACTGCTCAAAGAACCCCCCAAGTAAGCGAGACACCCACACGCCCTCCCAGCCCCACCCCCACCACACCTGTATATGTGTCAGGGTGTGGAACAACCTCAGGACGGCTCTCTATCTCGCCTTCACCTCGCCCACAATCAGAAGCTGGGACACACTGGTATGTACCGACCGACCATACAAGTGCTCTCTCACGCCCAACAGACGTTTATCCGTCCGTCTGCACTGTGTGTATTCGTTCACTCATCCATCCGACGCAGCAAGTGTGGGCGTCCTCTCGTCGGCCGTCCTACAAGCCCGAAGGCCACCCCCCCCTCAGTTGAGCAGCCGAAATAGCAGCAGCAGGCCAAGCAGGCGTGGAGGGTACAACCGGGTGAGTGGCGTACACGCGCCTTCTCTGCTGTGTACCTACAATACACATGGCTGCCTTCGTGCACATCTGTCTATTGTGTGTGTCAGTGTGGTGGTCGTGGTGGCGGCCGTGGCGGAGGCGGACGCAGGGGAGGCAACAGGGGCATCCTCTGGTAATGAGAGAGAGAGAGAGAGAGTGTGAATGATCGAGTACCTCAAGGCAACACAGAAGCGTTTTCCTGTGCCTAATGCAAGTGTATTCTATATACGTGCCACTGAGTGTGTCATTGATATCCATCTGTGCATGCCCTTTTTGTCTGGTGTGCTGATCTGTACTACTGACGATGGAGCGGCACATCACCCTCGATGTTGACTCCTGCCAAAGTGTTTCGCCAAATCGTCTTCATTTTCAACTGATGGCTGGCTTCGGACGGCATGACAGGCACAGAGCCACCTGTGGTCAATCGCTCAGTGCCTTTTCCGAGCGAATTCGGATGCTTGTCGAGAATTCTCGCCGGGAGACAGAGACGCCGTGATTCATATTCAGTGATCCTTTTTGAGCAGATTTGCCACAGCTCGCGCTGTTTTTCTCCGCATCTCCTCCCTTTGTGACTCCCTTCACCTGTTGTTCTTTGTATCCGCCCTCCCTCGACCTCCCACATCCCACCTCCTGCCCCCTCCCTCAGCCAACTTTGGCTGTAGGTGCACCCATATGGAAAGTCGGCGTCAAAGACAAACCCCAGAGAGCAGAACGAAAAGGCTGCTTCCAAAAATGTCAGCGGCAGCAGCAGCAGCAGTCGGGACTCCCGTCTCCTGCCTGAGCTCACTTCGGCTGTGCACTTTGTCGACTCTAGACCACCATGTGAAGGTGCAGATGATTGAGAGGGGTGAGGAGAGAATCCGAGGAAGGGACAGAGAGAGAGGGCCTGGAAAGGGAGGAACAACGAACGCATGCTCATCAATGAAGAGCATCGCCGCCTTCATTTCCCGTGTTCTGTCTGCGTATTCATTCGCTGTGAATGCTATGGTCCAGCCATGGCCCAGTACTCGAGTTACAGGGCTTTGATTGAGGACATCGAGGCGCTGATAGCGGACCGGGACTGGGCCAAGAGTGAGCAAACCGCCCACAATCAATGCATTGATTGTATCGTCAAGTACACACACACATGCGCGGCTTTGCTCTCGGTGTGTATTTATCTGTGCAGGGGAGATGCATAGGGACCAGAGTAGCCGCGACCTCCGGCAAGAACACATCCGCGAAATCACCGGTGAGTGTCAGTTGCACAAGAGGGGCAGAGCAGCCACACACGAGGAGAGAGAGGCAGTTCCTTGATCGATTCTTTGCGGCATGTCTGTGCGTATCCGCCATCCATGCCGGCAGTCGAGAAGAAGGAGCTAAAGGAGCGGCTGACCAGCCAGGAGGAAGAGGCGGCCGACTTCCGCGCCAAGTGTGAGGCCTACCAGCAGAATGTGTCAAGAGTGAGCAACGTGGCGCTGGGCGGGCTCATGGACATTCGTGTGTTGACTGCCTGCCTGTGTGTTTATGTGTCGGTCCGTGCACTTACAGGCGCGCGAGCGGTTGGCGACAGTGACACGCGAGAACTCCGGCCTCCGCAACAGCCGACGGGTATGCTCACATACATACATACATACATACACACATACATACATAGATGGATGGATGGATGGATGGGGGATGACACGGGAGGTGGGTGCCATTCCATTGCGACGTGTGTGCGTGTTGTGCCTGCAGGAGCTCGAGAGGTGCAAGGAACCCGCCGTTGCACAGCTCAAGAAGGTCCAGACGGCACACACACACACACACACAGAGGTACGAAGATGGGCATCGCAGGCGACGTTTCCCGCTCCGCCTCCTGCACGTATTGAGATAGTTGTCCGTCTGCACTGACTCTGCAGGCAGTCGGGGCCACAAAATCGTTGCCTACATTTTATATTCGTCGGCATCTTCTTTCGACCCTCACGCACCTCCTGAACGCGCCGGCGTGCGATGGAGACGCCGACAGTTGAGTTCGGCGGCAGTAGGAGTGGAAGTGAGCAGACGAATGGATGGGTGCCCATTGGGTCGCTGCGCCGCTCTGGTATCGTGAGCAAGGTGGTCAAGGAGGTCCACCGTGTCGGTGTCCAACTCCTTGATGCCCAAAGTGACTCAATGTGGCATTCCTTCCTTTCTCCATTTATCTATCAATCAGGGGAAAATGGCGGCCATGCGGGCCCGACACGAGTGGGAGAAGGCCGAGCTGACCAACACGATCCGGCAGCTGCAGGTGAATGAGTAGACTACTCGACCCCACACAGCAACAAAGGTGCCAAAGACAGACAGACATGTATGTCCGTGTTGGGTCTGGCCCTCTGCAGGCATTGCCGATTACCGTGTCGGTGTCGCACTGCCACGGCGTCACCATCAATGTATGTAAGCATACGTACGAGTCATTCAGTGAGTCAGCAGAGTGTCCAGTCAGTCCACCAAGACGTCACCAACTCACTGTGTGTGCATCAATCAGTTCAACATGGCCACCACCAGTCCCCCAGACGCGCCACACGTGACATGGCCCAGCGTGTCGGTGTCGCACTGCCACGGCGTCACCATCAATGTATGTAAGCACACGTACGAGTCATTCAGTGAGTCAGCAGAGTGTCCAGTCAGTCCACCAAGACGTCACCAACTCACTGTGTGTGCATCAATCAGTTCAACATGGCCACCACCAGTCCCCCAGACGCGCCACACGTGACATGGCCCAGCGTGTCGGTGTCGCACTGCCACGGCGTCACCATCAATGTATGTAAGCACACGTGCGAGTCATTCAGTGAGTCAGCAGAGTGTCCAGTCAGTCCACCAAGACGTCGCCAACTCACTGTGTGTGCATCAATCAGTTCAACATGGCCACCACCAGTCCCCCAGACGCGCCACACGTGACATGGCCCAGCGTGTCGGTGTCGCACTGCCACGGCGTCACCATCAATGTATGTACACACACACAGACACAGACAGACAGACAGACAGACAGACAGAGAGGCAGAGAGACACGCTGTGTGTGTGTGTGTGTGTTGCTCTGCCTGTGTGTGTGGAACCAACCAACCAACCAAACAAACAAACAAACAGGTATGAGGTGCTGCACATGGATCGCTGTGCACCCTGGCGACTCTCGAGACCATGATGTGAAGATGGAGATGATTGAGCGAGGTGAGGAGAGAGCCCGAGGAAGGGACAGAGAGGGAGAGGGCCTGGGAAGGTGTGGCACACTTATCTTCCGTGGTTCGTGCTTTGTGTGTGTATGTGTTGTATGTGGCTCACCGCTCAAAAAAGGACAGAGACATACAGATACAGTACTGAGATGCTTGTCCGTCTGCAGGCAGTCGGGGGCAAAATCGTTGTCTACTTTTTATATTCTGGGGTCTCTTCTTCCGATTCTCGCGCACGGAAACGCACAGACAGGAAGGCATTGAGCTCAATTTGTTATTGTCAAATTGCAGACAGGTGGAGGATGCCGCTGAAGGCCAAGGCTACGGGCCAAGGGCCCCGCAATTCAGTAAGAGCCGCCAACCTTCTTACATGCATCATCCACACGGCATTGTCTCTCTGTGCCGCTATGTGTCCCTTCGATTGCAGCGCGCACACCCAAGAAGCCATGAAGGAGAAGAGGACGGCAGGGCCATGAACAAGAGACGCATGTGTGTGGTGCATGTGTGTATGCAGGACGTCTTGGCGTCGTCGACCAGCAAGCGCAGGCCGAGCTGGAGCGAACCAGGAGCGACAATGCGGAGCTCGCCACCGTCAAGGTCAGCTAGTCAGCCTCTTTTTCGCCCCACCTCACACTCATCCATCCATCCATTCGTCACACCCTGGATGCGTTTGTGCGTGTGTGTGTGTGTGTGTGTGGCGTCCCTTCATCCATCCATCAGGAGGAACTAGCTGGTGTGAGGGCGCAGTGTGAAAAGTTCCGCGCCAAGGCTGAGGTCTACCAGCGTCAGGAGGCCCTCAGCACTCTGGGCCACGCCCCTGCCGCCATCACGAGGCCGTACCAGGGCATGCCGCCCCTGCAGCCCACCTACACCACCCACTCCGCCATGGCCCCCCAGCACCCCCCGATGCACCACCACCCCGCACACAGCTCTTGGCAGCCTCAACGCTCAACGCGCGCCTCCCGCCCCCTCCCTCACCTCACTGCGTCTGTGCACTTTGTCGACTCTAGACCACCATGTGAAGGTGCAGATGATTGAGAGGGGTGAGGAGAGAATCCGAGGAAGGGACAGAGAGAGAGGGCCTGGAAAGGGAGGAACAACGAACGCATGCTCATCAATGAAGAGCATCGCCGCCTTCATTTCCCGTGTTCTGTCTGCGTATTCATTCGCTGTGAATGCTATGGTCCAGCCATGGCCCAGTACTCGAGTTACAGAAGCGCCACTACCGATCGAGGCCGAGTTTCAAACCTCGATGCGAGCCGCGTGAGGCTTTTGGACGCATGGCGTCTCCAAGGACCGAGTCAGAAGGTAGGATGTGCTCAGTGTGCTGCGTCTCACTAAACGTGTATCTTGTCATGCGCCTCTCTCTTCGTGTGCCTTTACAGATCGGTCATCGCTGCCCACATTTTATATTTCGACATTTTTAAACTCAATTTCCGATGTCCCGGGACTGTCCTCTTCTGATGGAGAGGGTGAAGTTGTCAGGAATGTCTGCATCTGAAGATGTCTCACTCATGTCAAGTCTCTTTTCTACTCGTGTGGTGTCCTACAGATGAATCATCGCTGCCTACATTTTGCATCATATCGACGCACTTCTCGTCGACCTCTTCCACACATGCCACTAACTGGGAAGAACGGACAGACCAGACCGTGTTTGCATCGTGTGGTGCGGTGTTCGCGTAGTGGTTGTATGCCATGAGAGACATACAGACTCAGTGAGAATGCTTCTGTCGGATGAATGACGAGTCCAGCAAAGCCGACAAATCCGAGGACCTATATGCATCTCGCCACACTATCATCATTACACCGTTGCTGAAGACTCCCTCGGCTTAATCGTGACTGGACAGCGCACCGCCCGCTCGACCGTCGTCCCCGACATCATAACCACCTTGCTCTCTTAGCAGATGCTCATGATGTTCGAGCAGCGTGGTCGTGAGGATGAGGACGACGGCGAGCATCAGTGGCGCCTCTACAAAGGTGTCTGTCTTTCCGACTGGCCATCACTACGGCCCGCCTCTTAGCCAATACGCTACACACAATATATCACATGTACACACGCGAAAAACCCGCCTCTCGATCGACGCTCAACATCATACTCTCTTGGCACCGAGCAATATGCACACCAGCCTGTAGCGAGCTCCGCTGATTCACTTGGCGTGTTGCAGGAACATCTCGATGGCGACGGAGCAGAAGACGGTGGCGAAGAGGAAGCTGAATATGTACATCCACGTGTAGATATAGGTCAGGTTGCCGGCCAAACGAGACATGCCTGCACACATCCCACGGCACAACACGTGGCACAATATGGAGAGGCGTGTGGTCTCATGCGTGTGCGTGTGTGTGCATCTGAGCGTACTCAGTCTCTGTGCGGCCAGCACGAGGGTCTGTGCTGACGGAGCAGCAAACTCCACCAAGATCACCACCCTGCACCCACCCATCCAGTAAGGACAGACAGCAGGCAGCCATGCAGCCGTGCAGCTCTGTCGCCGATCTATGCGTCTGGCGTCCTTACTTGACGAGGGGTTTGTTCGGCAGAAAGACACTGCTCGGGCCGAAATACCTCTCCGCGCCACACATGAGCAGGATGCCTGAAGCCAGACCACACACAACACAAGTATGGCTCCTTGCTAGTAGTGGTTGCTGTGGTCCCCACCGATCAGCGGTTGTATGCAGAGCTTGAGCATGACTGCGAGTGTGACCATCCGCCAGTTGGGCGCCTCAGGCTCGCCGATGTCATCAGCCGCTATGATATCCCTGACACAGACATACATAGTCCGCGTGAGGAAACGCCCCCCCCCCCCACACACACACACAAGCGAGACAGCCACCGGCCGATCGATGGCTGCTCACTTGCTGCCGGCCAGCGGTGCGTTGGCCAAGGACTCCCCAGTCTTGTCACCGGTCGCGGCCTCCTGCATGCTCCTCACGTTGTGTGCGAGCGATGCGGCCATGAGCATGGTCATGACGGCCACCGTGGGCTGACCCAACACGTGAGCCGTCTTGGTGAACGACGACACGAACCCACCGCTGCACACACACATTGGTTTCGTGTTGGTGTCTTTTGTACTTCTGTGGTCTCTCTCCCTTACTTGGTTTGGAATATGAACGACTGCACGGCTGGGAGGCAGCCGACGAGGATGCCGACCAGCAATGCTATGATGGCGGGATTGAAGAGGTCCTCAGCCACACGCATCGCTGCCTCGATCCTCTGCAAACGAAAGGGCAAAGACGGATAGACTCACACAGGCGAGGTACAGCGCATACACACGCAAGTCCTTACCGTTTTTGATGGCTCTCGTCTGAGCACTTGGTCACGAGCCGACTTGAGCTTGCTGTAACCTGCACGCACCGCACAAGACACACCTGTGAATACCCACCGGCGTTGTGGCCTTTCGATGTGTTCCCGCCTGTGCTCGCACTGACCGACGCTCCAGAATGAGATGCCCCACCCGACACCGTACACGAACACAAACATGGCCGCATCGTCAAAGCACGATGTCACGGGGTCCTCCATGATCACATCCTCGCCAGCGTCTGTCGTGTAGTGCTGACACGCCCAGTACACACAACAACAACACACCCCGCACTCCAACGCCCCCCTTGGTCGCCCCGCCCCCTCCTCGCTGTTTCTGTGCCCACTCACTCACGGACATACAGGGTGTGTATGCTGGCTGAAGTGTGCAGTGGGGTACTGCTCGCAGATGGCCTCCATCATGACCAGGGGGAACACGCCCGAGTTCTGCCAAGTCACCGCCAGCGGCAGCAGCGAGTAGATGAGTGACGGCCCCACCGCCCGCCGCTCCTCCTTGCTGAGGGACGGACGGTCGATGACGTCCCGCAGCAGCCAACACAGCACCTGGGAGGTCACCCAACCGATGACGGTCTGCAAAACGAAAAAGAGATAGACATAGATCTGTGTGAGGGAAGGCAGCACAGCAGGATCAAGCGGTGTCTGTCTGTCTGCCCTGCCGACCTGCAGGAAGCTCCACATGATGAGTGGCCACAGTGTGGCCATGTCATCGAGAGTCAGCCGTGAGCCGATGGAGCAGAAGCACAAGCACGGCAGAAACACATAGAGGGCGATGCGGCTCAGCTTCTTGGCTGCACGTGTGTCAATGAACGCTGAAACCGCGACAGGCACAACCCACACAAAGGACGACAATCATGACATGAATCGATCAGCGTGTACGTATCAGTGCGTATCGTATCGTGTGGTGTGGTGTGCGTCCCATGAGTGCATCTCTCTCACGTACGTTCTTCGGTGGGGTAGTATCCGCAGAGGAAACCGACGACAGCCAGAAGCAGCACCTGCAGATTGGCCTTGCAGCTCGACTCAAACGACACCCAGTGGTCGGCAAACGACATCTCGAAGAAGATCTGCAATGCCCAGCACAATGCGAGCTCAGAAGGGGAGAAGACTGCGAGCTAAGCTGGAAAGAGGGCAGTGGGTGGCGTATCTGTCAGGATTGCCAGCTTGGGAAGACGAACCACTGCGAGCTTGTGAGCTAGGGTAGATTGCTGTGTAACGGGTGGAGAGAGGAGAAGACAAGGAAAGACAAGGAAAGCATTCTGAGGAGACACGATC